CAAAAGATTCAAGCGCTGCGTACTCTCTGACAGGAAGTTCCAGTAGGGCTGGGCAGCTTTACGGACAAGTCACAGCGGAAACATGTCCTCACACATGGCCAGAATGAAGGCACTAAAGAGGTGGGCAAGGGCTGCTATGCACACCCCATCCCTAGCAGATAGAGGACTAATAAAAGGTTCTTTCCCCTATGCCCTGAGGTAAAACCTGAGGCTGTTTACTGTGGCTCCAAAGGTCAAAATTAACAGCGTGAATTGAGTCGTCTTCTTGCTCTTTGAAACTCCTTGTCAAGTGGCACAGCCAGCTGGGCACACAACTCTGATATGCAGATCCTAACGTTTGTGAACAGATTAAATGAATTACAATGAGCACAGCCCATCATATCTCAACTCTCTAATGGGCAGAAAGGTCTCTTTTCTACCCACTGTCCAAAAGCCTCCTCTTATAGTCCATTTAAGCACCTCAAAAATCTGTATGACATCTCATTAGCAAATGACTCTGGAAGCAGACTGGAAGTTTATAAAACTGCATTTATCCTAAAGACAGGGTAGGAGTAGTAACCATGGAACAAAAATAACATTAGCTGCTAGTATGCTAAACAATCAAATACATTATTTCATTTTGATCCCCACTAGCCCAGTAGAAATAGAGACTGCCATTTTAAAGATGAAGAAATTGAGGTAGAGGGGTTTAAGTCATTTGCCCAGGTAAAGCCAAGATTCTTACCTGGGACCGCCTCACACTAACACCCACTAATATGAGATCAGAAACTTAAATAAATGCGAGTGGTGGTATATTACCAAACTGACACCTCTGACAGGGGAAAGGTCAGGATAGTTGGAGAAAACTCAAAACTGCCACAAGACACTCAAACTACACCTGATGACTTGTGCATCACACAGAGACATGTAACAACTGATAAGTGCTAGTTATGGTTTTCTACAGCAATAATGGTAAGAAAAGCTATCCTTCGTGATCAATAAATCTCTCATTTTGGGAAAAGCTGCCTCCAGCACTAGCTCCTTATTACCATTCTAGAACCATGTCCTTGACAGCAATACCACTGCCTCTACCAGAACACCAATCACACCATCTGCTGTTTGAGCTGCAGCAATTCCTACCACCGAGAACAAGTATTGCTTCTTTAATACAACAGCCCAGTACTAGTGACCAAAACAACCAAACCAAAACAGTGGGTTTACAAATTTCTTCCATGCACCCTACCGACTCGCCAAACACCTGCCTAGCACGTCCCCCCAACAGTGAGTCCCAATGTGCTGGGCGCTGGGCGAGGCCCTGACACCCTGTTCTTCATCTCAGTCGCTCTCTCAAGACGGGTCTAGCATTCTACTTCCCCTAAGGAATCATGCACCCAATACCAAATCACAGAGCTCGTGCCCATTATGAAACAGGATTTCCTGTTATGCAAATTACAAAGCACTAGTCATAAAACCACTTGCAGGTGGCGCAACAATTCGTAACCCAGACCACGGATTAGAGTCACCTGCGTACTTGAAATAATGCCAGTGCCTAGGCCTCACCCCAGATCAGTTAAATCAGAATCTCTGCGGTGCGGCTCAACATGGACATGTTTTTTAAAGCTTCTCAGGTGATTCAAAAGTGCAGTCAGGGTTGAAAACCACCAAATGTAATTCTTTCTAGAGTGGTATTTCCAGAAACCGCATAACCCACAAATGTGTTAGGTGGTACAAAGACCACAAAGACCCTCTCGCCCAGCAGGTGTGCCTGCCATCAGGCTGTATTAAAATGACACATCAGTAGTGCTCTCTTAAAATCACGGTCCTGTTATTTCCTTAGCAATGAAATACTAATATTCCTATAGCAATGAAATACTAAACAAAAGAGTACCTGAGGTCATGGCCCCCCAGGAGCCCCCAGGCCTCACTCTGAGAACCAGAGCTCAATGGCTCCAGCAAGTGAAGGGGTGATTAAGGGGTTCTCACTCTCTTGCAGTGGAGTGTGTGGGAGTGGAAAGGGCAATGTCCAGGCAGGAAGCAGCCTCAGCTCAGTAACCTGACAAGAGGAAACCTTCACAGTTCAGGCATGATTATCAAACTCTTTGTGCTCTTAAAGGAGAGTAATTATAGGCATGTGAAAAAAGGGAAGCACTCCCTGAGGAACTCTTCCTCACATGCTTCCCAAGAGGCACCAGGGCCATTAAAAATTCCATGATGAAGAGGAAAAACAGCCTGGGAACAGCCAGGAGGCAATACAGCAAATTAATACACCAGCCCTCCTCGGGGAAAGCTGTGATAAAACAGGAAACACTTCTCTCTTCGCAAAATAAAATTATACCACTAATGATAACATAGTCACCACACACACACACAAATCGTTCTAATGATGGGTGTGAAATTCCCAGGGCTGCCCAGACGCTTTGAAAGAAATCTTTTCCTACTACAAATAAAATGGAACAAGAAAAAGATAAAATTTCCATTCGAAACAGTTTTTAATACAGTCATTCACCTGCCTCTTCCCTGCCACCATCACTCTTTTAACATTCCTTCCCAGACTCCAGGCTTTGTTAAATGGTGTCCATTCTGTGCAGAGCCAACCATCCAGTTCTGGATCCCATCTTATCCTTCCGCCACACCAGAGCTAGATGGCTCTTTCTCGACTGACCCCTTGCTGGGCAGGGAAGCCTCCTGGCCCCGCAACTTCAAGGGAGTGAGAAGATGCCCTGAGGGCTCAGGGTTTCATCACCCACATTTTGTAAAAATTGCGTAGAGGTCACTTGTGCTGGCCATTTCCCACAGAGCCATGGCTGCCAAACTTAACGGACTATGCACCCTCATGATTAAGAGATCTGCAGAAACTCTTTATGTTAACACATATAAAACAAAAATATGTGCCGCTGGAATCTTCTATGTACATTTTTTTTAAGGATCAGATAATAAATGTAAGTTTAAAAAAATTTCTTCCCCTACCCCAAACAATGCAACTCACTTTATATCCAATGTCCTGGGAATGACATCTAGAAGGACAAGAATAAGCCACAATTGTCCACATTCTCTCACCTTGTTCTCAGCAATGGTCTAAAGCAACAAGCAGTATTCCCTTAGAGTAGACTATAGCAGAAGCACAGCCCGGACTTCCTTATGTTTCCAGGTCTGGCCACCAGCACTGCCAGCAAGAGAATGAAGACAATGATGCAGATAATGAGATACACAAAGAAACAAAAAACTGACACCCACTGCAGCCAGCATGAGGCTTCAGAGGCAATAGGAGACCAGACTGATAAAAGCATGGATATCTCAGCACAGCACGGCACAGCACAGGTCTAGGTAACAGGTGTCGAAGGAGGAGGGCAAAGAATCCTCTTTCTGCACCTGACAGAATATGGTGCTGGTCACACAGGCTTCCCAAAGAGCAGACACAGCCATGATTTCATTTGTAGGAAGACAAAAAGCTGGAGGACTGCTTTCCTATGGACTGAAATCTTGGGTCTTTCAAGACAACTTAAGGATCACCACCTCTAAGAACCTCCCCCACCCCCACCCCAAGCCTCTGACTCAGAAGCCTCTCTTCTGTGCTTCCTGGCATTGTGGTGCACATCTTTACACACTTGGCACTCCACACTGTAGCTGTCGATCTCCACAACCAACCTTCTCAAGAGAATAAGCTCCTGAAGGTAGTGCCTACACAAAGGGCCTGGCGTGCAGGAGGGAGTCAGCAAGTGCTGAATGAACGGATGATGGACAGACAGCATGCTGCTGAAGAGAGGGCCTTAAGGAAGTGCTTTATTAATCATCCCACAATTTTCCACATTCCTAGTAACACCATTTGTGAGGGTCTCTCTTTTTGGAAGACTTTTTCCACTGAAATACTACTTATCCAGTAGAAGGTTTGGCAGTTGGTGATAGCTTATGGTGCAGAGTTTATTATTATAGCCCAGAGTAAAGTTCTCATTGTATCCATGAAAGTATAATTTCTTGTCCTGTACCCTAAGCTTATGAACACAGCCATTTAAGAAAAAATCAGGAAGAAAAAAGGAAAAAAAAAAAAACCCAACACATCAGAAACTTGGAAAGAAATTCCTAGTGCCACTAGAAATAATAAAAGTTCTATGGTTCAGCCAATTAGTTCCTCTTTTGTGCACAATAACCCTGCTAGGCGATGCTACCATTAAAACCGTATTTATTTCCCATGTTACCTAACTCAAGAGAATTTATATTGAGAGGCATAGGATTCATTCTGACAAACATACCAAATGTCCCATATGGGCCAGACACTGTGTTAGATGCTGAAGATATTATCGGGGAACAAGATAAAACAAGGTCCCTACACTTTGAAGCTTATATCCTAGTGAAAGAGACAGGAGTAAAAAGTTGGGGGGGGGGACCTAACAAGCGAATCTTTATAGACCATGGTAAAGATTTAGCAGAAAGAAATCGATGAGCGGAGCGGGATGGAGATGGCCCCTTTAGACAGGATGGTCTGAGAGGTCCTCCCTGAGTTGAGATGAGAAGTAGTCATCCGTGAGAAGAGGCTTAACATGGTAGCCCAGGCAAAGGGAACACTGTGAGGCTTCAGAGGCAGAAAGGGGTTGCTATTTGCGACGAAACCGGAGCTGAGCTCTCTGGCACAGTTGGACTTCTCCCCCAGTGAGGAGAAAGGAGTACATGAAAGGAGGCTGGATATTCAGGCAGAAGTCAAATTACACAGAGTTTCACAGGTCACGGCAAGAACCAGTGATAACATTCTCTGAAGATGGGGATTTCAGCACAAGAAATATGAAATACAAGTCAGAAGACTTAGGTCACAGTTGAGACTTAAATCACATATGAGCTGTGTGATCACAGGAAAGATACCTCAATATTGTGCCTCAGTTTCTTCATCTGTAAAACATTTACTGATCTCTAAAGGTTGTTGTAAAGATCAAATTTTATACTATACACAAACATACTTTATAATTTGGAAAGTATTATAAAAAAGGAAATGGGAACTGTCTGGAAGAAAACCGTCACTGGAAGACGATTACCTGGCAGAACAGTGTGCTGGTGAACATCTTCGGTGAGAAGCATCAGCAAGAACATCCAAGGAGTAGAGGGGAGAGAGGGGATTAAACTGCAGGGATAAATGAGATTATTTTAGTAAGGCTTATATGAAAAAGACCGAATCATAAAAGGTGACCTTCTGTTTGATTACTCTGCCCCTTTGAATATTCAACTCTCTTGCCATACCACAGACACCACTCAATAGAGTTGTAACCATGAAACTAGCATACCTGGAAAAGTCTATTCCTTGGTAAACAGCAATTTTTCAAAAACCTCTAATACCTGGTAATTACTTAAATGGCAGAATGTAGCACTTTCTATATGACATAACAGGAACTTACCTGTTGATTACTGGCCCTTGTTCTCAAGAAAACCAGCATAAAATTACCTTTTTATTTCTTTATCCCAGCCAATGTTTCCAGTAAATAACTGGCTAGCACATGCCAACTGCAGTGCAGTAGAAACAGAACTAGATTAAGAAGTAGAATACCTAACACTTAATTTCAGTCCATCACTGAGTTTTCATACATTAAAAAATGACATAATTTCTTTTGACGTTTACTGTCCTCACCTGTAGGAGAGGGTGCACTGCTGTCTTACCTATTTTACAGGATTACTGTGGGCGTAAATGAAATATTGCTTTCAGTCGGTAATCCCAGTTTCTCTTCTGTAAAACTTCTACTAATCATCTCAAAAGGTGGTTGTGAGGGTCAAACTTGGATATAATATATAAAAAAGTACCTGACTTTCTACTTTCTAGCTTTATTTGGACTTTCCTCAGAATAAATAATACCCCTCTTCCCCCAAACTTCAGAACCAGAATAACTCTGAATGGTAACTTCAAAAGAACTTACAAAGAAGTAGGACTTTGGGCAAATCATTTCAATTTTATTTGTAAATAACAGATCTGGACTGAGTGATCAACACAGGTCCTTTCTGCTTTTAGATCCTACCCTGCAAATAGTGCTTGGGCTTAGTATCTCCCAAGCAGTCTCTTACCATCTTAATGACTTTTTCTTTCTCCGCCCACAACCTGCACTACTATTTCTTTAGTATTTTCTTCATACCAATTGTTTTTACTTAGACTTGTTCTTACTATATTTCTAAGGAACAACAAGTTTGATATGATTACATTTTTTCTAATACAAATGATAACTTAAAATATTAAGTGTATGTCCACACACCATCTAAAAGCATCTCATGAAAACACAACAGTTAGGTCTAGCCCTGCTCTGTTCATTGTGAAAGAGTAACCTCAAGAGGAAGGTTCCAAGTCTAAACTGTACAGCAATTTACTAAGTCCTAAGTAGTCAACACACAAAACAAAACACACTGAGCAACAGGAAGCCTGAGATTTTTACCTACCAGTCTTCATCTATTTTATAACTAATCAAGAGTAAGCAGCCTCTCTCCCCACAAAAATCAAAAGCTTTAAACATTAAAGAAACGTATGGATAGTAATTTTTAAATTATAACCCTTACAAAGGCCTAGATTTGCCAAGGGCCCTCTGCAGGGGTCACTGGGGAAAAGACTAAGCGACTACAAGGGCATGGCTCTAAGGCCTTGACCCCACTGCTTTGCTCACAGCAGCTCTACCTTCTTCTGTCTCCTACGTTCAGGCTTCACCACTGTACTCCTCAGCGTAGGATGCTGGTGCTGAACTAAACCGTACGCAAACGAGGTTCATTCTGATTTCTTACTGCAAAGTTCAAATCTAAAATAAAAATAGGATTCCTATGAAATATGCATTATAAGTAATAAACTAAAAAGTACAGTTGAACCTGAAAAGAGGAATTAACTACAGTTCTTATCAGTGAATATCAGATAATCTTAGAAAACAGTCTTCTATAAAAAATCTGAATAATGCAGGGAACGGGAACCTTACCTCATGTGCACAAGCAGAAATGTGAGGAAAATCAGAAGCCAATGCTTTATTCTTTCTAAAGAAAAGGAAATCAAATGATAAAATAAAGATGACAAAGAAAAGCAATCTTACCTGATTTCGTTCTCTTTTCCCGGCTGATGGTAACCAGAAACTACAGAGAGGGAGAGAATAACAGGAAAGAAAATAAAAGAAGTGGTTGGAGATTATAGAGGAGGAGAAGAAAAAAGGATTCTGGCACAACAAAGTGAAGATGTAGAAAGAAGTGGGGAAAAGAAGGAACTGGAGGAGGAAAGGAGAGAGATGGCAAACGTGCACAAAGTTTCTGTGAAGGACTTGTCACCACCAATGTGCTCTCGGGATCCCCAAATTCAACAAGAACACAAACCATACACATATCTTGCCTATTTTGTTACTTACAAACTCAACCAGGCTAATGAGTATAGGATCATAACTAGATACTGTTAAGTGTGAAGGAGACAAACAGCCAATCATGTTAGGGGACAAGGCTGCCACCAGAAGGAAGATCATTTTCCTGCTGCGCTTACAACAGCAGTTTAGACAAAAAGAGATTTCTCTAGACAAAGGTCTAAAAATAGGAAAAGCAAGGGTGAATACAGATGCAAATTACCCATTTTTAACAAAAAAAATTTTAAGAGACAAATTTTAGCTTAAAATATAACATTTTGGAGGATGCTTGGTACTGACAGCACAGAGCCTGCTTGGGATTCTGTGTCTCCTTCTCTCTCTGCCCCTCCCCTGCACACACTTGCTCACACTCTCTCTCTCTCAAAAGTAAATAAACATTTAAAAAATAAATTAAAAAAATATAATACCCTGGAAAGAGAGAAGTAAAACTATCACTGTTTGCAGGTGACATGATACCATACACAGAAAACCCTAAGGACTCCACCAAAAAACTGTTAGAATAAATGAATCCAGAAAAGTTGCAGAATACAAAATCAATATACAGAAATCTGTTGTGTTTCTCTACACTAATAATGAACTCAGAAAGAGAAATGAGGAAACAGTCTCACTTACAATTACATCAGAAAGAATAAAATATCCAGGACTAAATTTAATTAAGGAGACAAAAGCCCTGTACACAAAAAACTATAAGACTTGGATGAAAGAAACTGAAGACTACTAAATGAAAAGATATTCTGTGCTCATGGACTGGAAGAATTAACCTTATTAAAATGTCCATACTACCTAAAACAACATATAGATTCCCATTCCAAAGGCATACTTCACAGAACTAGAACAAATAATTCTAAAGTTTGTATGGAACCACAAAAGACCCCAAATCCCACAGCAGTCTTAAGAAAGAAGAACAAAACTGGAGGCAACACACTCCTGGATTTCAAACTATACTACAAAGCTATAGTAACCCAAATAGTACAGTATGGGGATAAAAAGAGACACACAGATTAATGGAACAGAATAAACAGCCCAGAAATAAACCCACACATATATGGTTAATACATTTATGACGAAGAAGGCAAGAATATACAATGGGGAAAAGACAGTCTTTTCAATAAACGATGTTAGGATAACTGGGGCACCACATACAAAGGAAGAAAACTAGACTACTCTCTTACACAACATACAAAAATTAATTTAACATGGATTAAGAACTTTAATGTAGGACTTGAAAGCATAAAATTCCTAGAAAGAAACATAGGTGGTAAGTTCCTTGACATGGATCTCTTTTGATTATTTTTTTATTTTTTGGATCTGACTCTAAAAGTAAGAGAAACAAAAGCAAAAATAAACAAATGGGACATCAAACTAAAAGGCTTTTGTGCAGCAAAGGAAACCATCAATAAAACCAAAAGGCAACCTACTGAATGGGAGAAGATATTGCAAATCATATATCCAATAACAAATTAATATCCAAAATATATAAAGAACTCCTATAGCTCAGCAACAAAGAAACCCCAAACAATCCCATTAAAAAATGGGTAGAGGAGAGTCTCAACTCTTGGTTTTAGCTCAAGTCATGGGACTGAGCCCCACATCGGGCTCTGGGATGACAGCACAGAGCCTGCTTGGGATTCTCTCTCTCCCCTCCCTCACTGTCCCTCCCCCACTCATGCCCTCTTTCTCTCAAAATAAATAAACTTAAATAAAACATAAAAATTAAAAAAAAAAAAGCAAAAAAAAAAATCAAAAAATGGACAGAGGATGTGAACAGACATTTCTCCAAAGACATACAGGCCAATAGGCACATGAAAAGATGCTCAGTATCACTAATTATCAAAGAAATGAAAACCCCAAACCACAATGAGATATCACCTCACATCTGTCAGAATGGATATTATCAACAAAACAAGAAATAACAAGTACTGGAAAGGATGTAGAGAAAAAAGAATCCTTATACACTGTTGGTGGGAATGTCAATTAGCGAATACACTGTAGAAAACAGTATAGAGATTCCTCAAAAAATTAAAAATAGAACCCATATGATCCAACTATTCCACTTCTGGGTATTTATCCAAAGATTATGAGAACACTAACTTGAAAAGTATATACACTTCTATGTAATGCCAAGATATGAAAACAACCTAAGCGTCCATCAATGGATGAATGGATAACGAACATGTGGTGTATACATAAATAAACACACACTCACACACACACACACACACACACACACACACACACACGAATACTACTCAGCCATAAAAAAGAAAGAAATTTTCCCATTTGTGACAACATGGAAGAACTTTCAGGGATTAGGTTAAATGAATAAGTCAGAGAAAGACAAATACTGTATGATATCACTTTTATGTGGAATCTAAAAACAAAACAAATGAATGGATAAAACAAAACAAACTCATAAAGGGAATGGATTTGTAGTTACCAAGGGGAAGGGAGTTGAGGGGTAGGTGAAAAGGGCTCTATTTTACGCTGACAGAGGGTACCTAGATTTATGGTGATGATCACTTTGTAGTGATATAAATACTGAATTATGGTGGTACAGGACTGAAACTTATGTAATGTTATATACCAACATTACCTCAATGTAAATTAATTAATTCATCAATTAAAAAATAAAACATCCTTACCCGAGGTTACTTTTATAATGCAGCACCTATACATACAAACAGCAAAGAAGTAAAAACTAGTCTAGGAAGGAAAAAAATCACTCTCATGGGCTTGGGGTGTTAGCCATGTTAACTGTTGTAAAGTACAATCCTTAAGATCTTCTCATTCAGCTTTAAGTCCGATTTCTAGGCTCCTTCATAAAACTTTCCTCTGCCTCCTCCAAGGAACAGGCTGGGATAATGAGTAAATATATGAGCAGTACTTACTCTTTCTGCCGAGGGTCACTAATAATGTGGCCTATCCTCTCAGTACCCAAAGTACTCATGCTGGTCTCCTGAAAAGGCAAGGAAGACGAGAGTGTCATCAAACCACAGGAACAAAGTACGACCTGTCATCAAGCTCACACTTTCCCATAACTGTGCCAGCAACCTCAAAGGCACATGTCAACTGTCAATCTTAAAATCTAACAGCAAGTTTATTTCTCCTTATGGGAATCCATCTTAAAGAGTGTTACATGTGATTCTAGCCTTATTTTTCCCCAGTGTTTCAAAAAAGTCATTATAAACCTTATTTACTATATATAGTATTTTAATACAATGAGTTATTAAAGCATGTGGAAATAGAAACACTTAAAAAAAATCCAACTGCAGCCAATTTTTAACAGGCTAGCACACCAAGCTTCCAAGATTGTATGATTACAGCCCCAAAAGTCTTCATAATGGGATATCTACCTGGTCCTCACTGGTAACACACTGGTGACTAATGCATACATGTTAAAGGAATTTTATAACTTACAAAAATGGTTACCTGTCTTTTGTCTGTTAATCCTCATCTTTTAAAGTAAATAGTTTGTATAAAGTGGTTCTTAAATTTAGGTTTCTCAAGACTGTAATATGAAAGCTTACCCATAACAACACAAGCAATTCAGAAACTAATAATTTCCAAAAATTTGGAAAATGGCAGAAGGCACTCACCCTTCATTTAACTTGAGTTCATTTACAATGAAGGTCATCACAGTACCTGAGGAAGCGCACCAACGGTACGTAAATAAGAGTTATCCTCATACGAGTAAGCGTGAAGATGAGTGCAAGTAAGTTACGGGTATGACTATCAAGAATGTGAAGCCTGTTACTCATACACATTTGTTTCTGGCAAATATTATGATCGCTTTTCATATATGTGTGTGGATTAGCCTAAAATAATAGGGTACACATTTCAGCAGAACTGACTCTAGAAAAATTAATTTGAGGTCAGATTCTGGGTGGGAGTGAAGCTAAATGAAAAGGTTTCACATAGTGTATTCTTCACATTTTTCTTCTCTTAGGCATGTGCCTCCTGGTCACAGACACAGCCACACTAGTAGGGCCAAGGGAAAAGATGGGTGAAAAATGAGCTATTTGTTACTGCAGAAAAATTATTAACTTAAAGTGCCATAATGTTTAAATTTACAGTTTATTACTGTGTAAATTACAAGCAGTACTTTGCGTAATTAGCAGCTCGCTGGCAGGGAGCTGTGAATGAAACTCATTATTTATGATTACAATTTAGAAAAAGAGAGGTGGGGGAGGGGGAATAAAGGGGGACAGAACAGTGACCTCTGCTAGAAATGACAAATATCCCTTTAAGGTGATGAAGATGAATGAAACAAATAAATATTATCCTATTCATCTGAAATTCTTAAAGGCACATCCAACAGGCCCTAGAGTTTCCCTTCCAGGCAAACTAAAGGGAGCCTTCAAGATGAAATGATTTGCTTCCACGGAAATGGAAGGCTCTTATTTTATAGGAGATGAAACAAAGTAAGGCAGACAATTGGGAGAACATTATCTTCCCAGCCTAACTAATAAAGAGAAAACGTAAAACCATCTCTCTGTGCCCTACTCCCAACCTCCTGCCTCCTTCTATCTCCTGTACTCCTACTCTGTTAGCTGACTTAGGAAGTAAGAATAAGCTCCCAGGATAGCAAAAGCAGCATTTTATTGTCTGTAAAATGAATGAGCCAAAAGAAGAAGGTATAATTCTTCCAATAATCAAATGTCTTTCTAATGAGAGATGTGAAATTGAATTTAAAGATAAAAAATCGGAGTTCAACTGGAAATAAATAGCTTCATTTCTTTTACATAGCAAAAATTTCAGAAAACAACTCCCTATTTCCACTAGAAAACAGGAGCACCCTAGGGCAGCCAGGCTGTAGCTGTGATCATTACACACCCGGCCTGGCACAGAGCCTGACATCAAGAAGGCATTCTAGATGTGCAGGCAGTGAACGCAGTAATGCTCTGAAATGTCTCTCACTTCCTCACTCTTTGCCCACCATCATCTTCTCTAACTGGGTATGAGCCCCAGTCTTAACCTGCTTTCAATCTCAAAGCTAGAGTAAAATACTATTTTTAAAAATTGTTTAAATTTAAATGTAAAAAGGTAAAAGTATAGCTGGGTTTAAGTCTCTATTCTGCCACTTCTATCTGGGTAATATCAGGTAGAAGGCAATACCTTGCTTCTCTGAACCCAAGTTTTCCTCATCTGCTGAATGGGAACATTACCTGTTTTATAAGGTTATTGGGAGGATTAAATGAACTGAGCACCCAGAGTAGTGTCTGGCAAAGGCAAAACTGAATCAAGGCAGATACTCCTTCCCTATGGCCAAGGAGCTTTTGAAATCTGAGAACAGGTTTTTGTTGTTGTTGTTGTTTTGTTTTGTTTTAAATGAACTCTAGAATAGGGGCGCCTGGGTGGCTTAGTCGGTTAAGCGTCCGACTTTCGCTTAGGTCATGATCTCGCGGTTCGTGGGTTCGGGCCCCGCGTCAGGCTCTGTGCTGACTGCCAGCTCAGAGCCTGGAGCCTGTTTCAGTCTGTGACTCCCTCTCTCTCTGACCCTCCCCTGCTCACGCTGTCTCTCTCTCTCCTAGAAATAAATAAAACATTAAGAAAAAAAAAATTTAAAAAAAAAAAAATAAATAAATAAATGAACTCTAGAATAAAAGACCAAAGTTAGGATAGAAGAAGCATTCATGATTTTAGAAGGAGTTATAAAGAAGCCATGACTATTTTAACTTCCATAAGATAACAATATAAGATTAGTCAAAAGAGAAGAGACAAGATCAGGCCTATAGATTTACAGACAAACTGTCATGACAGTGTTTGCTTTGTCAAAATTTCTGTATGAATTAAGCTTCATCTTTTATGTGTGTATCCATTCATATCCTACATAAGGTTCTCTGCTGTGAACTTGCAAAATATTCCAATTGGCTTAATTTACTCCAGGGAGCTCTGTAGCACCTCTGATTAGCAACAGGGTACACCAGTCCTATAAGGAATACTATGCTCCCAGTGAGCCCAGTAGACAGTGAGAGCTGTCACCTTCCCAACGAGCCTTCTTCGGCCCTTTCTGAGGCATCGAGCTGCAGCTCCAGGCAGACGGTTCAAGCGAGCATGATATCCTAAAAAAAAGAAGAAAGCTCTCAGAAACTGAATGCATTGCTTTAGCAATGATATGCTTCTAGTACACCAAAGGCCTTCCTCCCTGGATCTTACTAGGCTAACCCTAAAGCCAGGATCACTAGGTTATCTGCCAAGGATTTATTATTCCTATGTTTTTGCAGTAGGATCTTAGGCATGTCATTTACCTCTAACTTAGGCATCCTCACCCAAAAAGGAAGGATAATAACCTGCTCAGTCCTATTTTATAGAGCTCATTTGAAGATTCCATGAAATAGCTCATGGGAGCTACTTTATAAACCAAAAACACTACACAAATATAAGACATTATCAATAATTTCTAATTATAAATTAAATGCTAGTTATCATCTAAAAAACCTTTATGCATTAAATAATAGTAAAAATAGCCTATATAGTAAAATCTCATTTTTCTAATTACCGTATGTGTTCTACACCTAAAAAACACAACTGGAAGAGTCCACACCAAAATGTTATCAAGACACTGTCTCTGGGTATGGAATTATAGGCCATTTTAAGTTGTTCTCCTTATTCTCATTTGTGTGTATTTTAAGGGGTCCATAGAGAACTTTCAGAAATGGTCACTGAAACGTTTGAAGGAAGTTATGAAGGTAGCAAATGTGTGCCTAAGCCCAACAGTAATCTTTCCCAAGACCCAACTATTTTGAGAAGGATTTCAATTACCCAAATTCATCTTAACCAACTGCTATAAGAGTTTATAGCTTTGAGCATAATTCTGATCACCAACAGATGGCCAACTACTACCTGACACCTGACTGATTGATTACGGATTACTGGGAATCCTAGAGTCATACATTTATAGAGCTAAAAGACACCTCTGAAATAGTTTGTTCAATGTAATGACACTGAAGTCCCAAAGAAATGAAGTGACTCCGTCACAGTAACTGAGCTAAGACGACCGTACCAGAGGGTACTATCCCCACAGTTCCCTCTCCCTTCCCTAGGCTCTTCCCACTCTACCTTGCTACATCAGAAGTAAAGGGAAAGCAAAGGGACAGGATATATTTGTTAAAGCCCACAATAATAAAATAATTTAAGGAAATATTTTAAAATCATCCAACTAAAAAACATCATTATACCTTGTATGTGAATGTTCTTACTGAAATCTGTGCTCTTCCGAGATCCACTACTCCAGGCTCCCACTGAGCACTCCATAGCTCATCGGTTTCACAGCAGGTAAGCAGCAGTGACATGCTGCTAGGCTTCCTAAATCCGGCACAAATGGCAATAGCAAGCTGAAGGAATGCCCTGCTAATAGATATCCCAAGAGTCTCCGTGGCTTGGTTTACGTATGAATGGAGAACCTCAAGTTTTAAGACTCACCCTTGAATCTTCTAGAAAAATCCCTGGACTAGCTCCAAAACTCAGACAATTAATACATGCTTAGAGGCATGAGATGCTTGCCATGGGATGATTCTACCCAAAGAGAACCATAAAAGTATGAGGTGTAGTTTGGTCTCTTCAGAACTTACCTCTTTGAGCTGGTCGAGAAGGTAAAAGGAATGTGGAATCAGAAAGTTTATCCAGTCCAGAATCCATTCTTTCAACTTCAGAGCAATGATCAGGAGCCCACTTGGGCAGAAGGTTAGGGACAGTGAATCCTGGGACACATTCTCCCTCATAGAACCAATCGCTTTGCTCATCATCCCCTAAAGTAGAGAGATCATATCATAAGTTGGAATTTTAACATGCTCTATGGAAAACCAAATGTGAGGATGATTTCTCAGAACTACAGATTTGATGATACCTTTTAAATTATGTTAAAGTACAAAAAAAACTGTTTTGAACCTTCTTCTTAATCCATATTATGATGGAAACTAGAGTACCAAACTAGTTTCACATAATTGAAATACTGTGTTACACTGGACTATCTTTGATAGTAAAAAACTACTAAAGCTACCATTTACTAAACCCTCACCACCCTATGAGGGTCCATGCTAAGAATCTGTTAAGTACGTTATCCCTTCTAAACCCTACACTGATTCTAACTTATAATTATATAAAGCAAATAAAGCGAGAGAAGGCAAGGTCAAGTTAGTAAATGATGAAGCCAAGATTTGAACCCAAAACGTGACTAACTCCAAAGCCTTTAACACAAAAATATATCGCGTATGTACCATTCTGTGGTGTAAATGAACTTGGGGGTTCAAAGCCCACAAATGTTTCTTAATTCAAAACTAGTTACTCTTGAGGTATTTGTTACATTTGCATTTCTCATAATAGGTTAACAAAAAATGAACACCCATACTTCATTTCTTCCTTGGTACCCTAACATTAATGGGACAGAAAATCATCCTGACACTAGCAATCCAAGTAACCAAGAAAAAAACTAACCACGGAGACAAGCAATATAATCCCCCCGAATCTGTCAAGAAGTTATACCATTCACCCAAGGCCAAACTTTTCATTAATGACAAAGTCAAGACTAGAGCCATATAGCCAGACTCTTGGTTCAAACCCCTTTCTACTGGCTACAATGACAGCATCTCAGTTTGCAAGAGAACTTGCTCCCTCCCATAAAGCATAGTAAAACTAATAACTTTATGTCTGCCATCCCATACTCCTTTCAAAATACCAAGGATGAGGGGAATCGTGACAAGAACATTTGAAGTGTTCACAATGCCTTCATTTTCTAATGTGCCAGATCCCAGGGAAACTGCTCAGACCATGTTAAGCACAGAAAGTATCAGATTCATGGGCCACTTACATCCATGGTAGTGACAACTCTTAACTCATTGTGGAGATCTCTAAAAGAGAAAATGAAAATGCTCATAAAAAAGTTACTCAAAGTGTTCCCTTATAAAAACATACCACCAACAGCTGTTTCTCTAGAACAGTGGGCTTCAACCTTCAGCATACATCTGAAAGGGTGGACTGTTGGGTCCTTTCCCCAAAGTTTCGGATTCTGGTCCAAGCAAGATCAAAAACTTGCATTTCTAACAAGTTCCCTAGTGATGCTAAGCTGACTTCAGGACATTTTGAGAACCACTACTCTAAAAGCATCTTACTAAACCAGGTGCATAGATTCAGGCAGTGTGTTACCTACTGTAGTTGTAAATAATAAAAAAAAAATCCTGCCTTGGATGGGTGGCTGGGTGGCTCAGTCGGCTGGGCGTTCGACTTTAGCTCAGGTCATGATCTTGTGTCTTGTGGGTTCAAGCCCCCCATTAGGCTCTTTGCTGACAGCTTAGAGCCTGGAGCCTACTTTGGATTCTGTGTCTCCCTCTCTCTGCCCTCTCCCCCCACCTCAAAAAAATAAACATTAAAATTTTTTTTTTTAATTTCCTGCTTTGGAAAGGCTTCAAGGGAAAAGGCACACATACGGTAAGTTGTAAGAAAGTACAGGGAAAGAAAGAGCAAGGGTTCTAGGAGATGATGCCTGCACAACTGTGATACCCAGTCGGATTCCCTTCAGGAAATGCACACACACTTAAATGCAGTAATCGAGACTTTAATAAGGTGACTACCTACAAAGGTGTAGATAGTACTAAGAGGAACCAATAAGGAATGGTGAAGTACCCTAGAGCCAGCACAGCAGGAAGTCTTTACCTTTCCTAGACCTGAAGCCACTAGGAGAGAGAATGGTTATCAGAGACCAGAGAGAAAGCTTAGGTTATAGAAGACTGCCAACAGGGGTGGTGGCCTTTCCTCAGAGGAACGCCACCACTGCTAACCAGCAGTCCAACGGAAAGGGAGCCCAAGAAAGCTGCAAATCAATGCGGCGGACTGCATTACTGTTTCCAACTGTTCACTACTTCCCTATGATGACACACCCATGCCTTGTGCCTTTAACCATGGAATTCCAGAGCCTTCCCCTTGAGGCAAAGCATACTTCCTCCTCCCACTGACATAGGCTTGTCATATAACTTGCTTTAGGTAGTAGAACATTAGCAGATGTGATTCAAGCAAAAGCTTTTTAAGTATGGTTTGGTCACCAAGCTCTGGTTTGGTCACTTAGTATTCACGTCTTCCACCAGGAAAGGTCTGTACAAAGTACAGCCACTGCTCTTTCAGCAGAGGTCGCAGGACAGGATACACCGAGTAGACAGATATAAACCTGACTTAAAGCCAGGAGACCAGCTGAGCCCAGGTTAGACCAGCTGAGCCCCACAGCAAGAAATAAATGTGGTAAATCCCGGAAATGCTGGGGCTGTTAAACTGTATTACCATGCTAAAAACTTGACTAATATGTTCAATCTCATTCACCTTCCTCCCTCCCTTCTGCTACTGCCTCCTACTGGCCTAATCCAGTAAGAAATCGAGGGCAAAAAAACCCACTGGCACAGTTCATAAACATGTCCTGGGCGGGGGGGGGGGGGGGGGGGGGGGGGGGGGGGGGGGGGGCAAAAGGAACACTGTCTAGGTGGATGACCAACCATTCAAAAAAAGGTAAGGCTGGGGGGCGCCTGGGGGGCTCAGTCAGTTAAGTGTCCGACTTCGGCTCAGGTCATGATTTCACGATTTGTGGGTTCAAGCCCTGCCATCAGGCTCTGTGCTGACAGCCAGCTCAGAGCCTGGAGCCTGTTTCAGATTCTATATCTTCCTCTCTCTCTGCCCCTCCCCTGCTCATGCCGTCTCTCTCTCAGAAGTAATTAAAAAAACATTAAAAAAAGGAAAAAGAAATGGTAAGGCTGAGATTTCTGGGGGAGACACCAGCATAAACAATGACATGGAAGCAGTAAATAACATAGCTTTGTGCTGAGAACTCTAAGCATCCAAATATCACCAGAATGCATAAAGTTGAAGCAGAGATAGAGAGGAAAGCTGGGGCTATAGAATATTCTCAAATCTTCTCATAAAGCAAGGATTCCCTATTAGTAGAAAGGTTTTCCAAAGGCCTGAAACTTAATCTGGCATAATAGGTTCACACTTTCTTACACCTCTGTATAATTATACATAATCTTTAAGAGACACATTATGATACTTCATAGAACAGTATAAAAGCAAAGAAAAAGCAAAATGTGTAATTCTGAGCAGTATTCAGTAGCTCATTCAAGGAAAGACAAGACTTCCTTGGTACGAGAGACCAAAGAACCAAGCCCTAGCTGCACCCAATCTGGGAGTATATATGCACACCCTCTAATGACATCTAGCTCCCCCTCAGAATCAGAAAGGGACAAAAATGTACCTACAACAACCTCCATTACAGTACAAAGCTCAGCAACCCTATCCATATCCACAACTCTGAGGCATGAGGGAGATACCCTCTCCGTGATCTCTCTCTAAAATCTGAACTTGGATCCGGAGTCTCACAGTCCCAGGATCCCTTCTGGATCAGGCGAAACAAGTAGCCATCGTGTTTCTGTCCTTTGATCACTTAACCTTTGAAGAAAAATCACTGGATCTCAAAGCTAGAAGGGACTTTAGACAGCTAGCAATCTCTTATTTAGAGTAAAAGAATTACAGTCCAAAGGAGCTATATGAAACTCTTATTGGAACACAGTTGGTGTGGTCCTCTGCAAGTGTACCCGGTAAAAACAAGGTCTCAATGGGGCGCCTGGGTGGCTTAGTTGGTTAAGCGTCCGACTTTCGCTTAGGTCATGATCTCGCGGTTCGTGGGTTCGAGCCCCGCGTCGGGCTCTGTGCTGACTGCCAGCTCAGAGCCTGGAGCCTGTTTCAGTCTGTGACTCCCTCTCTCTCTGACCCTCCCTGCTCACGCTG